TGGTACAGTGGATTTAATAACATGACCCAACTATATACTCTCTACAAGAATCTAAATATGATATTGGCCAGTAGAAAATAAAAGGATGGAAAATAACAAAGTAGGAGTGGCTACATTAATAGCAGATAAAGAAGACTTCAAAGAAAAGTACTAAGGATTATAGATTTTGGGAGGAAGACCACAGAGAGAAAATGCCATTCTCATTTCATCATATTTAGGGAACGTTCTCCCAATATGACTTTCCACCGTTGATGTTAATCTCGGTGACCTGGATAAGGTGGTTTTACAGGTTTCTGAAATCAGTTACTCTTTGTAACCCACCTCCCTACCATACTCTTTGAAAAGAAATCACCATATGTGGTTCACTCTTTTTGTTGTTGTTAGGTTTATTTATTGATTTTGAGAGAGAGCAGGCAAGGAGCAGAGAGAGAGGGAGAGAAAATCCCGAGCAGGCTCCACACCATCAGTGGGGCTCGAACTCACAAACTGGGAGATCATGCCCTGAGCCAAAATCAAGAGTCGGATGCTTGACCAACTGAGCCCCCCCAGGTGCCTCTACGGTTCACTTTTCATACAGTTATGCTCCACCCCTTGAGAGTAGTGTATGTATAGAAACTGTTTGGAATTCATCTCCACCCAAAAGATTGGTCTATTCTCCCCCACTTATTTCTTGTGTTTCCTGTCCTAGGATACTCATTTATGCAGGATTTCTGGATCCTTTTAATGGAGAATGGGCTGCGAAACTGAGATTTGGTTTCTATAACCCGTTACCACATAGATCATTTCTAGCCCTCGCCCCTTGCTTGTCTGTAACTTCCCACACTCACAGTGGAAAACCTGGCTTCTTCCATCTGCCATCCATTTTCTTATGGTGCAGTTCCAGTATGCCTTTATAGCACTTTGAGAATTGCTAACCCGAAGCCCTGTGGGTAACAGTTTTCCAAATTAGAAGACCGTGCTTATGTATAGGTCCTTTTGTGTTTGGTCTTCACGAAGTTCGTTCATTTTCAGAGTTATCAAGGTCAGCATTTCTCCCCTTCCCCCTTCGGAGGGGTTGTTTTGTATGTTTGTAATACACTTAGATTCTTTTGCCTCAGCCTGCATTCTATTCTGGGATCTTCGTCTTCTAAAATGATTTTTCTTTCATTTGCATACATTAAGGTTCACTCTACTGCAACATGCTATGGGCTTTGACAAATGCAGAGTGTCATATCCACCATGATAGGATCATGCAGAATAGTTTCACCCCACCCTAACCCCCCCACCCCCCATGCCTTCGTGCTTCGTCTGTTCAACCTTCTCTTTTTCAGACCCCTGGCAACCACTGATCTATGTGCAATCTCTATGGTTTTGCCTTTTACATATATGTGTGTGTAAATATGTGTGTGTGTGTGTGTGTGTGTCTGTATATGTATACACACACACAATCTTTCTGGAGGCCAGAAATTCAGTGTAATTCACCACTACACTCTCAGCAGTTAGCACCAGATCTCATCCTCTTAACTGAGGGCCAGCCTTGCTTCTGGAGTTCTAAATGTTTTTCTGACTTGTTTTTATGTTGGAGAAAAGTGGATGCCCACGTTTCCTAACATTTTAGCTGGTCCTCATGAAAATGGCTTGAATTTCTGCCAGAGACATTCTTCCTCTGGGGTCCCCATTCATTGGCGAGGGTGAGGCCTGTGTGGCCCTTCCAATGGGACACATATTCTCTCTGGAAGAAGGTTCTGGGACGAGGTCTCATTTGGGAAATCGGAGGCTCTGGGGAATTCTCTGGCACCTCACTGTCTGTACTGTGAATTGCCCTTGGGTGAGGATACACTCTGGATAAACAAAGTGCCTGCCAGCTGGTACAAACTCAGGTCCTGTTTTCACCCCTTTGTCAATTTTAGCCTTGTTTGTACAGCACAAAGCTTCACCCCTGCCTCCTTTCTAGAGTGATTCTAAGAATGCAGCCAAAAACTCTGACTGTGGAGCCAGTGAGGGAAATTTCTGTGGACATTTCCCCTGTGGGGTTGAGAAGGGCTGATGAAACCTTCTGAGTCCGTGATATCTGACTGGGAAGCTCTTCCTTTTAGACAACTGCTTGAAAAACCTGGGTGATAAAGTTTGCAGGAAGTCCAAGGTGGTAAAGTATTCTCAATGGTGCTGGTCTGGAAGCAGAGCCACTCTTGGCCCCAGGGGATGGCCCCCCCCCACACATAACAAAAGCCCATTGCTAGGTAACAGGCATTTATTTCACTGCCCTCAGGAGAGATAGAGCTTTATGTAGATCACAAAACAATATCCCAAGGCTTAGGTCTTTGTCATGAAATATTAAGCACTCTGTGTTCATTTCTCCATCCCTTTGCCTTATGGCAAGTTCTGCAGAAGCCCATCTCCCCTGCAAGTCTGAAGACTCCCTTCTCAGGGCAAGTGTATGTTGATAGGCCCCACATCTCCCACACATTCTGGCTGTAGAGAAGGCTCCACCGCGATTGTTGAATGCCAGTCAAGCCCTTTGCCTGCGTGATGTTGCTTTTAATCATTCTGTTCTTTCCTTTGTGAAATAACCAATGCCAGCGAGTAACTTCTCATTACTTTAGGCCACTGTGGATTCTAGGGAACTTTAGGTATAGTTTGATTTTTGTCATCGCTCAATCCTAGGAGGGAGACTGGTAGTTCTGGTCTGGAGGGCAGATACATGAGCTGTACAGGTTTCTGAATTGGGGGGGGGGGGGGCTTGGTAAAGTTTATTTTAAGAGAGGAGAGAGCACAAGTGGGGTGGAGCAGAGAGAGAGAGAGGGAGAAGGAGAATCCCAAGCAGGCTCCATGATGTCAGCATAGAGCCCGATGTGGGGCTCAATCTCACAAACTGTGAGATCACGACTTGAGCCAAGATCAAGAGTCAGGACTGTTGTAGGTTGACCACAAGCTCGGTTAAATACTAACATGCTATTTCTGCTTCTGTAAATCCACTAAGCAAGCTTGTGCTTCCCTGTTCTGGTTAACCACACCCTGTATGCAAAGGTTACAGAACACCTCATTACCATTCAGTGTCAGGTGGTCTGTTATGTAGTCACTACCCCAAGGTTTCTCAAATGTCTAACTGTGATTGGTCATTTCAAACCCTCTTATGACAAAGAACTTTAAAATGATAGGTTTCCACCAAAACTAATGTCTGTGTGTCATAATATAATTGGCTACCATGAAATGCTGTAAATTGTAATTGGTTAACTAAATAATGACATAGTCTGCCTTGCTGAAATCCATATAAGCTTACTGCTACCTTTGTTCGGGGTCATTCTCTGCATTTTTCTCCTTAAGATCAGGAGATCAGGTTTGGCTCAGCCATGAATAAAATCCTGCCTCGCTTCTATTCAGTGTTGGGTGATTTTTCCGACAATCACCCTGCTTCAAGGACACTTAACTGACCAAGCCACCCTGGTGTCCCTGTATTTTCTTTTGAAGGCTTTTCTGAGTAATGGACCCACCCTTGAATTCTGGTGGAAGGTGTGTCCTGGCACTGTGGTGCCCGTGTCTGAGGTCAAGCCTACTTACTGACGCAATGGCAGGCCCTTGTTCTCCTTCACGGGGTCCTCATTGGAGCCCCAGTCTCCAAATCTGTATGAGACTCTGTGATCAGCCTCTGCATCATGGTCTGATTCAGCTTCATCACACCTACATGATTATTTCTGTGTATTACCTCCAGATACTCTACCCCTATTCCCTTTTCCCTAATTTTCTTGGCTTAGATTCTAGAGATCCATACAACTTCTTACATGTCCCATTGGAGCAATGTAAGGGCAAGAAGGATACCAGCAATTCACATGGATGCCTCATATACTAAATCCTCGTTTCCCCAAATCTTGGGTGATTACCCTTGTTTAAAAGTTAAAGCCAAAATTTTTTTTAGTTCAGTAGACAAAGCCTTGATAATCTGACCCTAGCCTTCCTCTCTGGTCCTAATCTCCCTCCACCACCCCCCATTTCCCATGGAGTCGGTCCGGTAACTAATTTGTTTTTTAATCTCCTAAGCATTCCTCTTGGTTTCATCCCTGTGAATATATACTGTTCCTTCCCTTTGGGATTCATCTCCTCCAATAAATTACCCATCAAGAAATCTCCGACAAATGTTTTAAAGCCAGTTCACATTGCAGATCACCTCCTCTGAGACTTCCCTGACATCTCCAGCAGTTTCCCTCCCTCCCTTCCTCCCGCAATCTGTTGTATGCACAACCTGTTCTAAAGAATTGAAACCATACTTTTAAACGTTTGTCTCAGCCTCTAGAATCTGAGCTCCTTGAAGACATGCAGGTAGAGTCTTTCCATCAGTCTTTCCCAGAATCCGGGAGACGGACCTGTTCGTCGCTACTACCTGTGACACACCGTCTGGATTAATAACAGCTGAACCGACCCAGGAGGCTCTTGGAATGTGCCCTTAAACCTGACAAGCTCTGGGATGGCCAGGAACTCTAATTAAACTGTCTGTGGTCAATCACCATCTTTAATAAGCAGTTTTGCTAGAAGCTGGGATAAATGAAAGCCAGGGGAGGAAATCTATTTTCCCTTGCTCTCCCATCCAGAGGCCATTCCTCCTATCCACACAGTCACTTATTACTTGATATATCATGTATAAACAGATTCTAACAGGGTCTCCCGTTTGGGAAATCCTCACGCTCTTAAATAGGAAGGAATTGTAGGAGAAAATGCATCCTGTGGATTCTGCTGCATCCTCTCTGTTGCCTTCATTAGAAACCAAAATGTCCATGAAGGATCCTGAGCTCACACTGCTTCCTGACCTCTTCTTCGGGCAATTCCTGTCCTCGTTTGTCTACTTACCCACAAAAACAGGGCTAATGCTTTGTTCAGGGGTTTTAAAGTTTTCAGACTCACAGTTGGATGTTGCTGCTGTTCCTCTGCCTCCCTCTGGGGCAGGTCTCTGGGAGCCAAGGCGCCAAGCTCTGCTCCTGTTCCTGCTGAAAGTGGATGCTGAGAGCCTCAGCAGGGCACTTCCTATTTTGTCAGGGAAGCTTCCTGCCCATGGCACGGAGCAGAGCATCCTTGACCTCCTTGTTCCTCAGGGAGTACACCACCGGGTTCAGCAGGGGGGTGATGACGGTGTAGGTCACCGAAATCAGCTGGTCCTGGTCCCTGGTGTTCTCTGACTTGGGCTTGAGGTAGGCGATGGAGGCACAGCCATAGTGGACGATGACGACCGTGAGGTGGGAAGCGCAGGTGGCGAAGGCCTTCTTCCGGCCCTGGGCGGAGGGGATCCTGAGGATGGTGGAGATGATGAGGACGTAGGAGATGAAGACCAGGCCCATGGGAACCACGAGCACCAGCACACTGATGATTACAGTCAGGATCTCGTTGACCGAGGTGTCGATGCAAGAGAGCTTCATCACAGGTCGGATGTCACAGAAGAAATGGGCCACTTTCGTAGCACAGAAAGGCAACCTGAACACAGATATCACTTGGGTCATGGCTACGATCAGCCCAATGCTGTAGGCGCCCCCCACCAGCTGGACACACTCTCTCTTGTTCATGATGACTGAGTATCTCAGGGGGTTGCAGATGGCCACATAGCGGTCAAAGCCCATGGCCGTGAGAAGGAAGCAGTTAGTGATGCCGAAGGTTACAAAAAAGAACATCTGGGTGGCACAGCCTGCCCGTGAGATGGACTGGTTCATACCTACAAGACTGGAGAGCATCCTTGGGAGAATGACCAGTGTATATACCGTCTCTGAGGAGGACAGCATGCTCAGGAAGAAGTACATGGGCGTGTGCAGGTGGCGGTCGGTTCGGATGATGGTCACAATGACCACATTGCCAGCCAGGGTTAAGATGTACAGTGCAAGGAACACGACAAAAAGCGTGAGCTGGTGCTCACGGAAGCTGGAGAAACCCTGGAAGACAAACTCAATTATGAGAGTGTGGTTCCCTCCCTCCATGGAGTGCTTGCAAAATCTGAAATGGAGAAGAACAGAAGGTGCATAATTTCAACAAGGCTGTAGATGCACATTTCTCAGATGGACTGAACTCCATTCTCAGCTGTGAACCTGGGGATGCATTTCCCTGTGCGTTAATCTCTGGGTTGACTTAAAATACTTCTACTCTGTGGCTGTCCTTTACAATTTCCTATGCATCCCAGAATCTATCTGTCTATAAATCTATTTATCTTTCTATCTTTCCTTTCCTTTCCTTTCCTTTCCTTTCCTTTCCTTTCCTTTCCTTTCCTTTCCTTTCCTTTCCTTTCCTTTCCTTTCCTTTCCTTTCCTTTCCTTTCCTTTCCTTTCCTTTCCTTTCCTTTCCTTTCCTTTCCTTCCTTTCTCTCACAACATAACTATGTACATTCCCACTCACTTCACCCCACACTTCTCTGGAATGCCCTCCCTCCTTTTCTCCTCTTGTCTAAGTATTTCCCCATTCCTCAAGGACCGTTGTAGGTATTGACACAGTATCCACAGCTATTGTGCCACAAGGTCCTCATGCTTCCATGGACGATTGTCTCCCTGCCTGTGCCATGCCGTCCACACACAAACGCTCTGCGGCATTACACCTTTTACATCTGCGCGTGTCACCATCTCAGGCTTATGGATCAATCAGATCATTGAAAGTAACTTAAGGGGGCGCCTGGGTGGCTTAGTCGGTTAAGCGTCCGACTTTTGCTTCGGTCATGATCTCGCGGTTCATGGGTTCGGGCCCCACGTCAAGCTCTGTGCTGACTGCCAGCTTGGAGCCTGGAGCCTGTTTCAGAGTCTGTAAATCCCTCTCTCTGTGACCCTCCCCTCCTCACTCTGTCTCTCTCTCACTCTCCTAGAAATAAATAAAACATTAAAAAATTTAAAAAAAAAAAGAAAGTAACTTAAGGATTGACTGGAGACCTTTTTTTTTTTCTCTTTCAAGATTATGAAACCTCCCTTTGCACACCCTTGAGGACATAGAGGCAAAGCAGACCCAAAGGCTCATATTGTTTCCAAGGAAGAAAAGGCAGATCTAAACCAACCACTGCCCCCTGGCCACTGCTGTCTCGGAGACATGGGCATCGGCCGGCAGGGTGCAGCCTGACTCTGCGATGGTGTGAAGCTGCACTTCCCCAAACTAAAAGGCAACTTGACAGCCCCTAGACCTTAGTGGGCAGACACCTGCTCTGCAGAGAGAAGCAGTTCTGCCGGGGAAGATGGAGCACATTCAGTTCTCTCATCGAAAGTCACAGCAGGCACCCCACTAAAGATTTGTCATTGTGGTGAAGGATGGGGCTCAGTCCGATTTGTCATATTTCACATTTTTGTCCCGTTAGACAGTAAGCTCCTGTAGGGAATGTAAATTATATCCGATTTGCCTATGCAGATTCAGAAAGACTTGGTATGTAAAGTAAATCACATCAGTGATGAAGGTTATAGGCACAGAGACCTCCTTCCTGTTTATAAAAATTTACTTAAAGGATGTTGGCTACTAGCTGTCACTCATTTACACTAAAACTGCTGAAAGAGTAAAGCTGCACCAGAGACATTTGTGAACAGAGAAAATCATTTTGACACTGAACGATGTGCCAAAAGACATTGAACTTCTCTGGATGGAAACTAGGTGGTGGTCCAGCAGGAGGTGGCCTGGCAGCTCTACTGTGAAGTCAGAAGCTTGTGTCCCTGCTTCTGATTGTTCTAATGATGGACACAGCTGCTGCCAGCAACTAATGCTGCTTAGCTGCCTGCCACCCACATGACAGACCCACCCAAGGAAGACTTGTCCTATTCCAAACACCCATAGGGTTTCTGCTGAGAAGCCACCGGCCAGGGTGACGTCTGATCTGGCTGATGTCTGTCTGTCCTGAGGTAGAAGGGTGGCTGCTATGACCCGGCTAGCACCCTCCAGCCTTGGGAGCCTGTAAGTCTTGCATGGAAATCAAGGGAAAGAAGAGCATACACGTCCTTATGAAGACGATGATAGATTGCTACACTGCAATAAGTTAAAGCCAGCCCATGGGCAATAAGCCGCATCTCATTTCCTGTTCTGGAGAACACTTACTGTGTCTGCCTGGTGCTGAGTCACAGCAGGAGAGCCGGGCTGGAGGCGGCCATGGTCTGCAGGTGCAGAAAGAGCAGGGTGATGGAGAGGGATGGCCCGTCACAGGCGGAGGCTGAGCAGACAGCGGATAAACACGCTCTAGCAGGAGGGTCGGCAGCTTGGAAGTCGCAGGCGGCATTGACCACGCCTCTGTGCGAAGTCTTTGCAGCAGAGCAGGTGCTCCCCCAAGACCAGCCAGTGGGGCTCCAGGGGCTCCCGCCCTGAAGATATCCCGAGACCCCCCCCCCCCAACCGACCCGGGGCTGGGAGGATGTAGACTGTAGGCACCCGGGGGCCTCATTATACGAGGGACTCATTTACCCAGTCCCAGATTTAGCCGTGTGGGAGCTTGGGGCAAGTTTTTCAAGTAAAAACAGCATTAGATAAGGCTGGTTTATTTACTTGAATTTTACTTGTTAGCGTCCATAAGCACCTTGTGGGGTTTTTTTTTTTTTTTTTTACAGATGTGCCTTGGAAATCCATAGTTTCCTAACGCAGGCAGCTCAAGCTTGGAGATATATCGTCTTGCATGTCAGGGCCCCCGCCCAGTTTAAGATGATGGTTTTCTCTGACCACCGGGGTGGCTGAGTCAGTTACGCCTCCGACTTTGGCTCAGGTCATGATCTCGCGGTTCATGGGTTCAAGCCCCGTGTTGGGTTCTGTGCTGACAGCTCAGAGCCTGGAACCTGCTACTGATTCTGTGTCTCCCTTGCTCTTTGTCTCAAAAATAAATGTTAAAAAATTTTTAAAGAATGTGGTTTTCTCTTTGGAGTAAGAGCAGTCAGCTTTGGCCCTGGCTTTGTGGAGGGCTCTTCTGGCTGCCTTTCTGCCCTGTGGTACTCAGAAGTGGAAGGAAATCTCTTTGATCCCAAAGACCCTCTCTTGGAGGCCAGGAAATGGATGGGGGCTGAATACTCTTTCTCTTTGCCCAGAATTACCTCCCCCCTCCATTTTGGCAAAACTTCTAGTCTGTCAAAATCCAATGCCAGACTCTCGGACCTATCATTTGCTTACCAGGTTCTTACTTGACCATGTGTGCTTACCTGTGTCCATTCATCCTTCATGCACCAGCCAGTGCCAGGCCCCAGGGCTGGTTGCTTGGAGCAAGGGAAATGCAGGACACAGCCTTCCAGCACCTCATGGTTTAGTTTAAGTGACAGAGGATTAGAGTAAACTGAAATGAGTGGGGGCGGGGAGGGGATGTTCCTGGATTAATTGCAGGTGGATCACAGAAAAAATTCTTACGCTAAAGACCAGGCTACACGAGGTCTTAGAGTAGTGAGATTTTACCACTTGTTTTTAAGGGCCCCTCACATAATTTAACTTATTGCTCCTGCTTAGGGGCTTCAGAGTCCCGTAGTAACTGGCACGTAAGAACCACCGGCTGCCCTGTACCTTCTTCCTGCCTGTCTGGTGACTCTGCTTTTTTGCAAGATTAATGTGGCAGCTGTGTGAGGGTGACAGGGGCTTGGGGAGAAGGCAGGGAGATCAGCGAGGGGGATAATGTCACAGGGCAGGCCAGAGGTCAGTTGGGGGTGATTTAGGGGGGTGGCCCTGGAGGTGAGAGGGACAGAGGTGAGAGACATCTGAGGTGAGTAGGCTGGTGACTGCATGTGTGGATCAAGGGAGAGGAGAGGACCCATCATTTCATACACTAATCTCAAGTTCATTCATGCCAGCTCCCTGAGACTCCAGTCTGCATTGCTTCCTGTTGGAACCGATAAATTGACCCAAATGACTCCTGTTAATGGTCAACCACTAGGTGTGATTGGTGGCCATGGGATCCTAACAGGGAGGGAGGAGAGGTGAACAAAATAGCTCAGCGCTTTATCACCTTTGCTTGGGGACAGATTAGGAGGATTTTGGACAAGGGTCACTTGGATACATGGTGTAAAAATGTGGCATCTGGTGAAAACAAGAGGTCGAGCTTCAGAATAAGCTTACACTTACTGAGCCCTTTCACACGGTTTTGTCTGAGTCCTCCAACTGGCCTATGAAGCCTGTGGCATCCTTACTTCACCAATGAGAGGTGGTGAGGAGGACACTCTGTCCTCAGTGGTAAACCCACTGGACTTTGATGCGAGATAGACATGAGCGTGTGGGGTGACTATTGAGACGAAGCCAGTGAGGTGGCCGGGAGCACCCACTGTCGACCCCCTCGGCTCTGCAAAGCACATTGTTTGGGGGCCAGATTCCGGTAGCCCTAACTATGGGTCCTTTGTGGCTTTCACGTTAACTTAGGGTTCCAGTCTAGACTTCCTAATGGTGCCTTAGAATTGTCATGGGGGTGTTTCAGAGCCCTGAAGAGGACTTAGTACAGAGTTTGCTGAGGTCAGCATGGTTCCTGAATGTCTTAGTTCGGGCTCCAGAACACCATAGCCATAGACTTGGAGGGTCTTGCAGCTCTGAAAGCTGACAATCCTAGGTCAAGGGGCCAGGAGATTGAGTTCCTGGTGAGGGCTTGCTTTCTGGACTGCAGGTAGCTGGTTACTCTCTCTGTCCTCATACTTTGAAGAGAGGGAGAGAGAATCCTCTGGTATCTCTTCTTAAAGGGCCCCGATCCCATCATAACCCCATCCTCATGACCTTATCTAAACCCAATTCCCAGAGGTTCCATTTCCAGATACCATCATGCTGGGGCTAGGGTTTCAACACATGAATTGGGGGGTCACGACTCAGTCCACGGCAGTGAAGTTATGTCTAATCACACACACACCCCAACCCTATCCTTCTCATCCAGAGCTGGGGGCTCTAGTTTACATGTGAAAACTCCTTTTTAATCTTAAAATAACTTTATGGCTCTCCAGCTTGATACTAGTTGAATCATACAGTCATACTCTTTGTATCTATTGATAGAAAAAAATAAATTCTGAAAAAGAGAACCACGAATCTGGTGATCAGTATACTGTCAAATGGATTACAGCACAAAAATAGTTCGACATGTTTTTGTTAGTACGTATCGGGCCTGCCTCTGAAGATGCACCCGTGAGTCCTGGCACCGACTCAAGGCCTTAGCAGAGAAGAGGGAATGACACCATGGGAAGTGGCTGGCAGGCCTGCACATGGGCAGGGCGTCGGGGAAGGGAGTCTGGGGTAGGAAGTGAGAGAGGGAAGCGGCTTATTGACACGTGACAGGCATAACCCAGAAGTGACTCTTGTAAGACCCTGAGAACAGGTTTTGTGGACCGAAATCTGGGAGCAAGGACCACTGGGCAGGGTGTGGGAGTGCTCCTTGCAAAGTCTCTCCTGGGAAGAGGGAGCTCATTCCATGACTGAGAACTCTGAGAACTGGGGCTATGTGTCCATATTGGGTTGACTTGATATTGACCTCAGAGTGACTTAGAGAGCAGTGTGTGGTGGGGGTGGGGAGCAGAGGAGGTGCTAACCGTTACAGCTGCTCCAGGAAATGTGAGGCCCGTAAGATTTTCAGGGCCTCACAGGAACCCTGGAGGTTGATCTTGCTGGCTGCAGGGTGCAGTACGAAAGGAAGGCCAGTGAGATTAAGTCACTTCCGTAGAACACACATTTATAATGGCAGACCTAAGATCAGGACACGTGCCTCTCTGGCCCCAAAGCCTGCACTCCCTCTACAATACTACTGCCTGTTCATCTCCTACTAGGTCATCAGGATGAACAAGTGAGGAAGTGGATGGATCTAGAGTTAGTAAGCTGATGGGCACGAGCTCTGTCACCCCATCACCCCCCACCTGGCCTTTGGCCCACTTTATCCTTTTTCTCTTTGCATCTTTAAAGCTGTGCTGAGTGGAGAAAGTGCACCAAGATATTGAAGGAAAGCATATTAAATACGGAATTTCTGAACTTCCAGAAAGATTTCCAGGACCCAAGGCCATTCCAGGGAGATTTGAGCTATGCGTAAATTCGCAACGTGTGGCGCTCCTTCTCCAGTTATTAGAAAGGAGGAAAGCTGGCTAAATAGCGATCATGAGCCCATAATGCAGCTGCTGGCTCTGGGGCTGGATTGCGTGTTTTCGGGTCCTGATTAGGGCCCACATACTAGCTCTCTGGCCTTCAGGACGTTACTTTATCTTTTCAGGGTTTAGGTTTCCCATTTGTAAAATAGTTTAATAAATTACCTCCTAGATTAATAGTGAGGGTTGAATGAATGCTGGCTGTCTAGGATGAGTTCCATAAGTGTACCGAAAGGGATGTCACAAAGTGGAGGCCGGCAACCTGAAAGGAATCTCGTAATGAAAGGAAAAGAGGAAGAAGAGCTGTGTGCTGATGCCAGTTGTGTGTTGGTTGCTTACAGTTGGCCTTACTTCCTTCTTTTCCTCCTCCTTTCAATAACTCCCAAGCTCCACGTACCAGGCACTGTTCTAGGTGTAGAGGCAGAGAGAGGCTCTGTTCTAGGTGTAGAGGCAGTGGAGCCTGAGTGATTGCCCGGTGGGCATGAGCACACCTGGGCACACCTGGCCGGTGCCCTGAAGCAGAGCTTGAGCCTGCCCCTGTGCTCGGGACTAAGGACACGCTCTCAGAAAATGGAGGGAGAGGCAGGGTGGGGTGGAGCATAGCTCAGCTGGGATGCGGTCTTGGACAGCCTGATCTAATGGAAGACTCTAGAGTTAATCACAATTTGAGGCAAGGTGGGTGTCTTTGTACCTCCCAGGTCATTCAGGCACTGGCTGTGTAGTGGACTGCCCCAGGGAGGGCAGGAGTGGGGTATGTGTCCCCCCTGCTGAGAAAGCCTCCTTTCAACCAGTGGTGATTGTTCAGAGTGGGGGCGGGGGAGAGGGCAGCACCCTCCAGTAAGTCACTGCAGAGGCATCTGGGGGAGGAGAGGGGATGGGATGTGAAAGATGGGAACTCTTGTTTTGCAACTCTCAATATCCAGGAAGCTCTTTTTACAGTGTTTTGCTTTATTCTTCTCAACCAGTTTGTCAACTGGCTCTCAGAACCTGTGTCCGACAGAGCTGTCGATGGTTCATGCAGGTAGGAAGAGGCACAAGGTAAATTAATGGAGTGAATTTTTTTTATTGTAGTATGAAATACAGTGTAGAAGTGCTAGGTGTAAATAATGGAGAACTTGTTATTTCAGTGCTCTCGATTTCCATGCTGAGGCCAAGTTCCGATCCCATAAATTCCTGTGATAGATACTATATATTCTTCCCACCCTCACTACTAGTTTATAATCCCTTATGCCAGGGGTAATGGGAATGAGGGCTAACATTATAGTACAGCTCCTGAATATGCTTTATCTTACCTGGTTTTCACCAAGCCTGATAAGCCCATCTACTGGTCTTGGGAAATTCATCAATCTCTTATTAATCTTTCCCTTCCTTGTTTTACTCCAGCCCTCTCATTCCTAGATGCTGCCCAGATCAGGTACCTGGTACCTGTCTGACTTGGTCCCTCACTGCAACTCCTCAGCAGACTTTTTAATTTTATGGAGACTGGCCAGCACTTAAGAGAGAGGCTTTTTGCCCAAAGCTCTGAGCAAGGCATCCTTGACCTCTTTGTTCCTCAGGCTGTACACAACAGGGTTTAGTAGGGGTGTGATGACCGTGTAGGTCACAGAGATGAGTCTGTCTTGCAGGGAATTTTGGGATTTGGGTTTTAGGTAGATGAAGGAGGTGCAGCCATAGTGGACGATGACCACCGTGAGGTGAGAGGCGCAGGTGGCAAAAGCCTTCTTCCGGCCCTCAGCTGAGGCCATCTTGAGGATGGTGGAGACAATCAGGACGTAGGAGATGAAGATCAGCACCATGGGCAGAACAAGAACACACAGACTGATAAGCAATGTGACAAATTCTTTGATGGTCGTGTCAGCACAGGCCAGCTTCATCAGGGGCCGGATGTCACAGAAGAAGTGGGAGATGATGCTGGCATCACAGAAGGGCAGACTAAACACAGAAGACACCTGAATGATGGCCGTGCTTAGGCCAATGCTCCAGGAGCCACTTGCCAGTTGTAGGCAAGTCCTTTTGCCCATGATGACTGAATACCGCAGGGGGTTGCAGATGGCCACGTAGCGGTCATACCCCATCGTTGTGAGCAGGAAGCAGTTGTTGATGCCGAAGGTGAGATAGAAGAAGAGCTGAGTGGCACAGTCTGGAATGGAGATGGCTCGTTGGGGGCTGAGGAGACTGGACAGCATCTGGGGGATGATGGCCACTGTATAACAGGTCTCCGAGAGGGACAGCACGCTCAGGAAGAAGTACATGGGTGTGTGAAGTTGACGGTTAAGGCGGATAACCGTCAAGATGATGGCATTGCTGGCGAGGGTCAGCAGGTACAAGACCAGAAAGACCACAAAGAGAATGAGTCTGTGCTGCCACCCAAAAATGGAAAAACCTTCAAAGGTAAACTCTGTCACCGCAGTCAAGTTGGGTCTTGGCATTGAGGAGAATCTGGGTCTGAAAGAGATGAAGCAGGGAATTTGAACATCCAGGCTGGAAACAGGAGGCCGGTCCAGTGTCCTCGTCAGCTGTGTGCAGGGACACAAAATGGGTGCAGCTCCCAGTTTCCGAAGCTCTCAGCTTTCAGACACTGGCCAAGTTCTCCAAGACTTCCCAAGGTTCTCAGGGGCCTTCACACTGGGAGACAGACGCAGGGAGGTGGGGGAAGAGAGTAAATACCTGCAGATAGCTTGAGTGCACCTTTCATGCTTGGCTGGAGGAGACGCAGATGAGAGAAGGCACTAGACTGAGTGTGCACAGCCCTGGGAGTCCACCCAAACTCACCTGCTTTGGTCCAGCAGTGATACATCATCTGTCAGAGAGCCGGTTGTGAAGGGACCTCCGTAAAGTGAGAATTCAGGCCAGGGACAGACTGCTGTTGGAGACGTGATTCTGGGAGGTAGGCGGCCAGACCCAGCTCTGCTCACAGCACCTAATATTGTCCCCCCACCCCCCACCCTCGTGGGTCAAATTCAAAATGGCCAGTGTCAGGCACCTGGGTGGCTCAGTTGGTTAAGCGTCCGACTTCAGCTCAGGTCATGATCTCCCTGTCACTGGGTTCAAGCCCCATGTCGGGCTCTGTGCTGACAGCTCAGAGCCTGGAGCCTGCCTCAGATTCTGTGTCTCCCTCTCTCTCTCTCTTTCTCTCTCTCCCTGCCCCCACCCCTGCTCTGTCTCTCAGAAAATAAACATAAAAGAATTTTAATAAAAAAATGGCCAGTGCCTGGACTAGGTCAGTGAGAGGGGAGACTACTTTTTCTCTCGGTTAGAGGCTGATGGGTGGACCCAGGATGCTCTGCGATCCAGAGCCCACTCCTTGCTTTCCTCCATGTGTTCCCCAAATACCCCATTCTTCAACACCTACTTCCCCTCCCTCCCGTGTGGATGGTCCTTTTTGCTTGTTTCCTAGTCTAGTCGAGCATCTCAGGCATCCTAAAGGTTTGAAGTACCAATACCTCCAAGACAACAGTGATGAAAACAACAAAATATTTACATTTCTAGAAACCTCTGCCTTTAACCCTAGTGTAAGTAGAAGATGCTTGCTTTACCTTTGCTCACTTTGTGTGTCTCCCTTTGCTCGTCTGTAAAATAGAATAATATATACTCACAGTGTTGCTATGGAGACTATATTAATTACCCTGTGTAAATAGCCAAGCATAGTTCTTGATATGTAACAGGAAAACAGTACATTCTGTTTCTGCTCTTTCACCCACCCTCCCCATCCCCACTTCCGATCGGGTTCTACTTGAATGGCAGACCCACCCAGACATCCAGGCATGGTTCTCATCATTGATTTGTCCCATCCTTGTTGACCGCGATACTCGGTCCTCCCTTCCCACCTCCTGTCTGGTTCTAGATTCTGCACTCTGGAGGGGACTGGGGCTGGTCTGGAGTCCAGCACCCCTGTGAACACACCCCAGCTCCAGCGGCTTCATGTTTGACCATTGAATTGATCCCTCATCTCTTCGGACCTCAGTTTCTCCCCCTGTAAGATGAAGGCAGTGCCGATCTCCATGGCAGAGGACTGATGGAAGAATTATACAACAAGATGCCTAGAAGGCATTTGGTGGAGGGCCTGGTATACAGTAGGCCATCAGTAAATGGTAACCGTTGATAAAGATGAGCTTCGATGTCAAAATAGGAGTGTTTTAGGTCATTGTTTTTATCTTCGATTCTCTCCCAAGTCCCAGCTCAGGACGTGGTTAGTCCTCATGTTGCTAGAATGTGTAGAGCAGCTTGCAGCTTAGAGGATGCTTTGCTAGCTTTTAGATACAGGAGGAGGAGGAGGTAACAGGGAAGGAAACATTCCGCAGGGGAGAGAGTTCCAAGGACGGGGGAGTGTGCAGATGTGGGTTGGGATGGGTAAGCCTTCCCCAGCGCAACACTTCTCCAGGCGTGCCCACGTCCGGGACCTTCTTCTTGGACTCTACTTGGACTCCTGCACTCACGAAACCCTTCAATTTCAGCCATTCACCGACCCTCACCTTCCTGGCCCCTGGGTTGAGATCTGGGACAGGAAACAGGAGGAAAATGGTGGGGACTTCTATATTCAGGTAATACACATTCTCTGGTGGAAAGGGCCTACTTGAGTTTACCACGCCAGAGTCTGGTGCTTTGTGGCTTGCCACCCAGCCCCCTACACCAGGAGAGTGATATGGGGTGGGAGGGGTGGGAGTGTGTGTTCCCAGGTCCCCTGGCTCCCTCAGTGTGGTGTGCTGAACACTGATTTTTGGGCTAAACGGACCAACGATGCCCTTAGAAAGTTCTGCCTGCGACTTTTCTAAGGCTTAGTTCCAAATAAGCCTTTCTGAATGATTTCTCCCCCCAGTATTTATAATGCTTTCTATTCCCTAAATCTTATAGCACAGCTATGCATTCATTTCTCCACTTGACCATACTCCCAGGACAGGGGAGAAAAACAAAGGGTGATGTCCCATGAGCAAGGATCGTGAGGCCACACCCAGGCAGTCAAGAACCCCTGCTTTGCCGAGTCTTGTAGGGTGACTGACCTCTTGCCAGGCGAGGCCGACACTCGATCAGGCTGGAGAGCACGGACCCACGACCGCCAGGGGCCAGCGCTCCTCCTCTGCCAGGCAGGTGTGCACGCTCAGAGTCTTCTAGAAGCCTAGAAGAAAACCTTAGACCCCGCCGGGGCCTGTCTATTAATTCCTGCACTAATTGGACAGGTCCAGGAGTCCCAGAAAGCAGCCGCAGGCTCCCATGGGCCTTCACGGAGCCCTGTTCTCTAAGTGTGTATTGCAGGCTTGTCATGGGGTACTGTTCTTCTGGGCTCCTGGGCCCTGGGGTCCCTCTCCCCAAGGTGGCAATAATAAGATCCAACTCTGCTGCTGTCTGGGGACCTCATTAGAAAAGGGGCTCCTCTAAACCAACTTGACAATAAACTATAAAAGAAAAAAGGGGGGGCTCCTCAGCCCAATCACATGGACAGTGTGTGTAGGTGATCTGGGCTTCCCCCAGGGACAAAGTCTTTGTGTTAGGACACAGCCCTGCTCTGCTCTGTAGATGAAGAGGAACTTTGGCCTCCAGACCCAAACCAATTTTTAAATTTTTTGAAATTTATTTCTTGAGAGAGAGAGAGAGAGAGAGACAGAGGGAGACACAGAATCCCAAGCAGGCTCCAGGCTCTGAGCTGTCAGCATAGAGCCCGACGTGGGGCTCAAACCCACAAGCTGTGAGATCATGACCTGAGCCAAAGTCAGACCCTTAGCCAACTGAGCCACCCGGGTGCCCCAGGACCTGACCATGTTTAAGGGTGCAGCTTTATTAGGCAAGCCACTCACCCCCTGGGACCTCGCACCCTAATTGCTGAAGGTCTGCGAGGCCCCTTCCAATTCAAATGTTCCAAGAGCTGTGACTCATTCACTCGGGGATGCTTTCCAGAGGTGCTCGCTGAGCGCATTGCACGTGCTACGTCCAGGGAATGTGGCGGCAGCTAGGGACATGGCATCTGTACTGAGGCAGGTCCCTCTGTTTGCACGTGATGTCCAGAGCATCCAAGAATGGCTGAAGAAAGGAGAGGACCTCTTGCCTCCCTCCTGTGTCCCCCAGCCTTTGGGCAGTCAGCCGACCCAGCCTTATCTGCCTCTCCTGCTGTGGGTCCAAGATGGGCCTTCCCAGGGATTGAAGGCAGCCCAGACACTGACCCAACAGCTTCCCAGGGATTTTGGCTCCTTGGTGCCTAGTTTATGTCTTTCTCCCAGGGACCCTCCCACACCCACCCCTACCAAGCAGGAAAGTCTCCCTTTCTAAGATCCAGCATGCTTGAGGCAGGAATACTCGATAGTAAGGTGGTTTATTAATGTGTCTTTGATAAGCGGGGTCAATGGAAAGAGACTGACAAACTAGCGTGGGATAATTGTCAGCCATCCCACAAGCGTGGGATAACTTGTCCAGTCCCACATAATCTCTCCTGGCCCCAAACGTTGACGACCCGAGAGAAACTGGAAATACTTAGGCTGATGAGTCATTAAAATCAGAGAGACCCACAGCTAAGAGAGATACTACGTGGTATATTTACCACTGCTGGGGGTCAGGGGTGAGGGGTGCAGCACATTACTGGTCAGACCATGAAAACGCTCGGCAGGACAAACGTGGGGGAGCTCACCATGGGCAGCCAGCTCTTCCCAAAACCTGAAAATAATCCGTGAATCCGGTCCTTATTTGTCAGTGTCCCTTCTTCACAGTTTTCCTGGTAGGCAGCTCAATTCAAGTATTTAGGCAGCTCTTTGGAATTAGGAATACAATGGGATCTGAAAGCCACGAGAAAGAAAAGGAAACCCTGATGTTGAAATTATGATCTGGAAACTGTGTGCATTTTTAGAACACGTATGGTTCTTATTGTGGGTCTATCTGACATAAGTTTAGACGTAAAAAGACTGGAAAATCTGGAGTGGATGGGGGATTTTTTTTTTTCTGAAAAGGGAGAAAAATACATTGCTTACATCATCTGCCTATTTTTGGCAGTTTTGTCTTTTCCGTTCTGACTTTTTATATCTCCTCTTGTTGCATTCAGTTACGAGCCATGACACAATATCGAATGCTAGCAGCCACAGAGGTTATCATAGAGGCGTGTTTCCTTTTTCCAGATTGTAATTAAAATGCCTCTCGTGTTTCGGTCACGGTGAAAGGGGATGCTTGGGGCACATCTCTGGCGGTGCCCTCTATCAGATGGAGGAAGTGCCTTCCTATTTCTCATTTGTTTGACACTTTCTCACTAGTGATCTGTTAAATTTTCAGCCTGTTCCTTTTCTATATCCATTGATAACGATTATATGCTTTTTACTCTTTAATTGGTTAGGGTGGTGAATTACATGAATAGATTTTTCTAAGGTTGACTCATTCGTACATTTTTAAGAAAACCCTGCTTGGTCAAAAGACCAAGATCCAATATACACGATTGAACTGAATTAGCTATTTTTTT